CCCAGATCCCTTTGGCTCCCCAATAAAATACTGGGGGGGGCAATGTTGAGGGAAATTAGGGACTGATTTAGGGTTGTGTGTGTGGAGTGCAGGCACTGGATGCTGAGCCAAGGGAAAAGCTAGCTCAGGGTTTTGTGAAGGAGGCATGACAGGGTCCTAGAGTCCTCACACCTTCTTCCTAAAGGATGTGTGTTAGAACAACTCTGCATGCCTCCAATCACTAGAGGGCAGGATTGAGACGAACAAATAAGTTTCCCACTAAACAGCTACAGCAAGTTTCACTCCTTTCTCCGGCTCCCCACCCAGTGCCGGATTTATGTCTAAGCTTAACAAGCTATAACTTAGGGCCCCACTTTCTTGCCCTCCCCCATACTTCTTCTTAATTGTATTACAGTTCAACAGTTACTTTCATAAAATACATATTTTGTTATGTGCAAATGGCTTTAGATACCTATTAGGTCCGTTAATTACCATATAGCATATATTCAACACAAAAACAGCAACAATTTGTTGTTGACAAAGGACAGTTGGACATATAAAGGGCCCCATTACCTTCAGTAGCTTAGGGCCTCATCAAACCTAAATCCGGCCCTGTCCCCACCCTCTCTTTGCACAAGGCAACCATGAAACATTTTCTCACGAGGTAGACTTATAATCCATAACCATTCTCTTGCATATGAAATAGCGAACCATTTCTTCCCCTTTACCAATAGGACAGCTGTGTTTTATTTTACCCCCCTTTAGCAATGCTAGTTATATGTGAATGTGATAGACAATGGGTGGTGGGGCAGCTCCAGCTTCCAAGCTTCCCCCTCCTCTTTACTTGGCTATAGATATAGATATATAAACTAGAAGCCAACCAATTTTATTGTTGAAACCTATCAATTATTTGGCCCACACACAGAGCTGATGCAAACTCCAACGTATACAGTGGTACCTCAGGTTAAGAACTTAATTTGTTCTGTAGGTTGATTCTTAACCTGAAACTGTTCTTAACCTGAGGTACCACTTTAGCCGCGCGATTTCTGTTCTCATTCTGAAGCAAAGTTCTTAACCTGAGGTACTATTTCTGGGTTAGCGGAGTCTATAACCTGAAGCGTCTGTAACCCGAGATACCACTGTATAATTCTTCTAAAACGAAAGGAAAACCCAGCACTTTCTGCATGCAATGTTTATCACTAAAGCAGAAAAAAGATGTACTCAAAACAACCAGTCAGTAAACACATAACACTGGTTGCTAGAACTGCAATCCAGAAAAGAAAAGAAAAATAATAATCTACCAGTCTTTTCGTTGCATAAAAGAGCATCCCTCTATCCTTTTTATAGCAGAGGCTGTGTGTATAGACACACACATCAATGAAAGCACACTGACCATTTTGTACCAGTGTAGCCCCATACACTGTGGTGTACTTTTCTCTGCGTCTGTTGGGAAAGAGCTGTGAGTCTCTTTAACCACAGCCACTTGCACACAGCTTCTGTCTAGCTGCTAAACAAGATTAATAATATATAGTCCACACATGAATTATTAATATTTGTAATATTTAACCAGAAAATAAAGCTGCAGTTCTTTTGCCATTGCACACTCAAAGGTTTCCAGGAACAAGTGGAAATTAAAGAGATGAAAATGCCATGCTTAACACATTCAGAAATCAGTCTACTGTTGTTTACTATTTTAAGCTTTGCATTGCCGGAAGGATGAGGATTCTCTCGCTTCCTGTTGAGCTACAGAAAGGATTGTAATTATATTTTTCAATGGTATATATTTATTTATTTGGGAGATCTCAGGCCCACAAATATATGGCTGTTGCAAGCCCTGAAACTGATCACATTTTATGGAATCTGCTATTCATGTATGATTTACCACCATCATCTGTTCATTCAAGTTTTCTGTGAAGTTTGTTTATTAGATGTTCCTGTAATAATAGCTGAGAACTATACAACTAATTCCAATTAGGCTATGGCAAGTACTGCAATGGCCTGATAGTGGGGGAGGGGGGTTAATAAAAAAAAGCAGAGAATAAATATTTTACAATTAAAATCTGCTTGACAACACAGGATCAAAGAGCTGACATTAAACAGCTTGACACAAGTTCAAGTAGTGGTCTAGAACAGCTCAGTTTTATGTAAACAGCTTTCAGGTGTGGGTTTTTTGAGGGGCAGGGGAATTCAGTTAGTGGTATATAGATCTTGATGGAGAAATAAATAAAATGTACCTCAAGATGCATGAGGGGACGTGGGTGGTGCTGTGGTCTAAACCACAGTCTAGGGCTTGCTGATCATAAGGTCGGCGGTTCGAATCCCCGCGACGGGGTGAGCCCCCATTGTTCGGTCCCAGCTCCTGCCCACCTAGCAGTTCAAAAGCACATCAAAATGCAAGTAGATAAATAGGTACTGCTTCGGCGGGAAGGTAAACAGTGTTTCCGTGCGCTGCTCTGGTTCGCCAGAAGTGGCTTAGTCATGCTGGCCACATGACCCAGAAGCTGTCTGCGGACAAACGCCGGCTCTCTCGGCCTATAGAGCGAGATGAACACGCAACCCCAGAGTCGTCCGAGACTGGGCTTAATGGTCAGAGGTCCCTTTACCTTTAGAGATAGATGAAGCTGTCTTTCTGGTTTGTGTTATCTGAAGTTCTGTTCCACATTGATCTGTAATTTAACATGCATTAAAATTGATATTTTGTATCAAACTATACATTTAAAATTATATTTTCTTTTCCCATGCATATTCAGGCATGTATTTAAATGCAAATTTGGATATATTTAAAAACTGCTGAGAGCACCATTAAAACAATTATGATGTTTGAAGTTCATTGAATAGCTAGGATGAGATCCACCCTGTAGTTCTGAAGGTACAGGTCAGGACATTCAGAAAGACTGAGTTCTTTTAGCATTCCTAGCCCACCTATGACGAAACTGGTGACAAGCAGCAGAACAGGCACTAGACAACAGCTTACTTGTCCATTGCATGTGGGCTAGATTGGTAATGATTTCACTCAACAACAATTGAGAGACAGCAGTGGATCCATGAGTTTTGTTGCAGGCATTGGAGTGATACAACAGTCTTGAGTGGACAAAGGAACATGACTCTTCTTTTCCTTTCTCTGACTAACCTCAATTCTGATGTCTGTGCTTCTCTGGTTTGAATGGAAGAGCAGAAAACCCATGCTCCCTGCTCTCTGTCCTAGCCTATGCAAAACATCTTGGCTCAGCGCAGAAACCAGCGGATCCTTTCCTCTGATCTGAACAATTGCCTGGAGAAGGTCTACATGCTCCTTTGTGTTAGCTAACAACAGATGCCCTGCCCTGGTAGGCATGGCTTGGGTCCACACTACACACGGTTAGTCACACTTAAAAAATAAAATAATGTTTGATGATACCACTTTTGTTTTGAAGGGAAGGCAGCCATGAGGTCCCAGTCAACTCTGCACTCTCCATCTTGTTCTCATGATGACTTCTAGCTGAAAATCCTCCCATCCCCCAAAACAACCTTTCTCTACCTGCAAGGCTGGTCTTTGCTGTAAATAGCAGCCAAGGGTGGGAGGCAATTTCCCACCAGATACCAGATCTCTGGATCAGAACATGGTTCAGAATTGGGAGCGTGGTGCAAGATTGAGGGCCCTCTGGCTGCTTTTCCGTCAACAACAAAGGAATAATGTGTATCTGCTGCTGGAGATATTCCTTGGTGGCTTGAAGAAGCACACACGCATGACCTTCATCACCTAGGGCCAAGTTCTGCTGTTCTGACCTCCTTAAATTTTGTGACTAAGTAGCAGGTCAACATCTCACTTGGAGAGTAATACATGTAGCGCCTGCAATCTACCAGCCACAGGAGCATGGCTGATCTCTCCGAGGCTTCTTGTTTGGAAAACACTGTAGCTCTTTCCCAGCTCATGTAATTATACTGCCCTATAAATAGTTTTCAACAGCCACAGGAAAAAAATAAAAAAAATCTTGTTGGGTATCTGTTGTTCAGAATTAAGACTGAGTGCACTAATGCTTCCCCTCTCAATAATATAATGTTATTTTAATGGCTGCTTCCTTCTGCAGTCTATTTATGGAAGGGATATTTAATTATATGCCTGCTTTATCATTACTTATATTAATCACATCTAGGGGGTCATGTGGTACCATATTTAATATTTAATGTTTTGAAAATAAATTAAAATACAATGATTTAAGGCTAACAAATTATCCAACATTAAAAAAGGGAATTGCAAAGCTAATTATGCACCCTGTTGCTCAAAGGACTGCTAAATGGAGCCAGAGACTTTTACCTCTCTGTTTAATAGATGAAATCAAGTACAGTTTTCTAGGGGAGCAATTATGGAATATATAGCTGCCTGTATAATTGGTTGTGTTACAGAGCATTTCCTATTGATGTCTACTCATAAATAAGTCCCACTTCAGTTCACTGGAGCATACCGCCAGGTATGTAGGAATAGGATCCCACCTAGGATTATATGGCCAGGAATAATGCAGGGGCCCTCAAGCTGTTGCTGTACTACAACTCCCATTATGCCTAGGCATGAGGCATGCTGTCTGAGACTAATGGAATCCAAGAACTTTGGGAAGACTACAGGTTCTTTAGCCATGGTGCAATGACTTGAGCTCATGCTACACTAGCATCCTATGAATAGCAAGTCAGGCCAGCAAAATCATGTTCTGCAGCAGCACTGGGGTCTCTGGGACACATAGAACCATACAACTGGTTCCATGCACCCAAAGCTGGCTTTCAGTGTGCGTTTCCAGAATAGTTTCCCATGCAAACTTAAACAATAGTTTGTGATAGGGGATAGGGTGTGGCCCTCCTATTCTTTTTAGAACAATGTCACAATGAGCATACCCAAGCTCTTAAGCAAGCCTAACTTGAGATCCTAACCACTATAAAGGTTTCCATTCTAGCAACTCTACCTTAATAATTGGATTAGAATCATAGAATCATCGAGTTGGAAGGGACCACAAGGATCGTCTCGTTCAGCCCCCTGCAATGCAGGAATCTTTTGTCCAACATTGGGCTTGAACCCATGACCATGTGATTAAGAATCTTATGCTCTACTGGCTGAGCTATCATATGGGTCCAACCCATCAATGCGCTGTCCCATATGTATGCTTTCAGCAGCAGCTCGGGATGAATAACTTAAGCAAGTTACATTTTTCTCAAGCTTCACACAGTGAATTTGCTTTGGGTTCAGGCACATCACAGAGCATGAAAAAGCTGGCAATCCTAGAAGGATATGCCATTTTTTTTTTTTACATTTTACATCAGATGAAGAAAATAAGCCAGGCTTCCTCAACTTCGGCCCTCCAGATGTTTTTGGCCTACAACTCCCATGATCCCTAGCTAGCAGGACCAGTGGTCAGGGATGGTGGGAATTGTAGTCTCAAAACATCTGGAGGGCCGAGGTTGAGGAAGCCTGAAATAAGCTTTGGGAATCTGTAGTAAAAGGATCACTTCTCTACTAGTCACAGTGGCTAAGTCCTGCCTGCACTGTTTGGGGCAATAAGTCTCTGAAGGTCGCTTGCGGAGAGTCACAAATGGGAAGAGTGCTGCTGTGCTCAGGCCCTGCGTGTGGGCTTCTCATAGGCACCTGGTTGGCCACTGTGAGAACAGACTAGATGGGTCATTGGCCTGATGAAAATGGCACTGAAATGTGGTTGCAATGAATTGAGTATTTCATATCTTGGCTACCAATTGGTTTCTGGGCCCAATTCAAAGTGCTGGTTTTGACCTATAAAGCCTTAAACGGCTCAGGACCACAATACCTCAAGGACGGCCCCTTTCCATATGAACCTACCCGGACCCTGAGATCATTTTCTGAGGCATTTTCATGTAGCTCCTCCTCAAGAGGTCCAGAAGGTGGCAACATGAGAACGGGCCTTCTCTGCAGTGGCTCCCCGTCTGTGGAATGCTCTCCCCAGGGAAGTTCACCTGATACCTTCATTATACACCTTTAAGCACCGGGCAAAAACACCCCTTTTTAACCAGGCCTTTGGTTGACCTGATTGACACCCTATACCCTTTTAAAATGTGACTCTTTGGGGGGGGGATGGGGTGTTATTGGGTTATTGTTTTTGGCACTTATTTTTATTTTATACATTGTGATCTTTTCTGTGAACTGCCCTGAGGCCTCTGGGTACAGGGCAGTATATAAATCCAATAAATAAATAATAAACAAACAACATTGTGAAGATGGTCTACTGAGTCCAGCCACTGGTTGCCCCAGGTGAAATTCCACCTTGAAAGCCTTGCTCTTCTTTCTTGCCCCAGACCCCTTTTGCTTGCTCACGATGCAACGGCTGCCGCTCCAGTGGTGCAGCAATCAACCAATAGCTTTAATGCTCTCAGAGACATTTACTGCATGGACAGCAGAGAAACTGGTGCAATTATATGCTGGGAAACTGCTTATATTGGGTAGCAGGAAATGTTTTAGGAAATAATACCACTTTATTTCTACCAAGATTTTGCTATCCATTTGCAATTGCTTCGTAGCATTTATTTTATTTTATTTTTTTATCACTTAATGTTTTCAGGAGATTATTTACAGCATGCATTTATGGATGTGAAGATAATTTCTCTAAGTATGCCATAAAAAGGAGGGAAAGTCGATGAATCTGAGAATGTATAATTTGCAACCATAATGTAATTGACATTTGGGTTAAGATAATATGGAAAGTTGTTTTGCTTGTGGATATACAGCCAGAGGGAAATACTGCTGACAACTGGCCTTTGGTGCCTGAATTCTTTGAATACAGCATTGTGCTAAATTCCTACCTCATTAAATCAGCTGTTTAGCTGCACTCATAGTTACTACAGCAGCGCAGGACAACATCCCCAATGTTGCCTGTAAAACCTTGTAAGGCAAACAAGATGCCTAAACCATGATGTGTAACATAATACAAAAGTCAAGCCAGTCACATTCTTGACTATGTAAGTAAATTTCTGGATTCCTTTATAGATCAAAGTGTTCCAAAGCTGGATTTTTGTTCTCTCTCTCTCTCTCTCCCTCTCTCTCTCCCTCTCCATTTGTTTTAAGCCCAGTGTTGGCGTTGTAGGATGCAAGCAGCTTTCCCCAAAAGTCCAAATAGCATTTAAAAATAGTTTGGAGGAGTTCCTTATGTAAGAGGAGTTCACATTCCACCACCGCTGCACTACAGACGTAGAAAACAGGATTTAAGTGTTCTCTTCAAAAGAACGAGGCCGGCCAATGTTATTAAACTGCTGTTCCTGGAATCTTCCATTCATGTACAGGTTAAATATCACCAGCCTAGAGAAAGTATGAGAAAAGGTCATGCTGTGTTCCCATCTGTGCATCAGATTTGGCCAGAGCAAAGGCAAAAAAGAAGAAGAAGAAAGAGCTATGGCAGGCTAAACATGAATAGCTACACTGTGTGTGTGTGTGTGTGTGTGTGTGTGTGTGTGTGTGTGTGTTGCTGGCTTTGATTGTTCAATAGGTAAAAAAAAAGGTAAAGGACCCCGGACAGTGAAGTGCAGTCAAAGGTGATTATGGGCTTGTGGTGCTCATCTCGCTTTCAGGCTGAGGGAGCTGGTGTTTGTCCACTTGCACTTTGACGTGCTTTCAAACTGCTAGGTTGGCAGGAGCTGGGACAGAGCAACGGGAGCTCACCCCATCAGAGGGATTCGAACCACCAACCTTCCGATTAGCAAGCCCAAGAGGCTCAGTGGTTTAGACCACAGCGCCACCCTTGTCCCACTTGATTGTTCAATAAAGCCCTCCTGGCAGTGCTGAATTTCGGGGAGATGCATTTAGTAGCAACCAGGAAAAAATGGTCTTTTATGGTGGCACCCTCACTGTGGAATCACCTCCCTCTTGATCTCAGACAGGTACTCATTGTCGGAACTGGGGGTGGAAACCAGCTGGCTTGATCCCAGCCGGAGCATCTCCCTTCTCAGCCTTGCCGCTGCAAAGAGCCATCAGTTATTCTCCTCCGACTTGTATCTGTGACTCCAGCTATTTAGCAGGAGCACACATTTCCTCAGCAATGTAAACTGCACAACAGATCAGGCTCGAGGCATAGATACTATACTAAACTATGCATTTATTATACATAAATCAGGACAAAGAAAAACATGGCCTCTCTCCTTGACATTCTTCTCAGAGAGAGAGAAAACAAAAGCAATACAGAGCGGATGTTCCGCTCACGGGACTCCAGCAATCTGTGCTGGAATGTAAACAGACATTTGACATGCAATAATCCCACACATCTGCAGTGCGGGAGGAGTGTAATCCCAACACTCATATTATTGCTGTTCTAGTGTTTTTATTTCTGTACCTAGGCTTTTTCTGGTACTCAAAGGGAGCCCACAGCATTTCACTACCTGAGGCAAAATGGGAAGGTGCCATTTCCCGCCCGCCCCATCCCCCCGCCACCAAAGCCTTCCAGTGAGATTTAGTGACCATTCCATAAGATCTTGCTGAAGCCAATGCTGCCATTTTTCACTTCTGGTGTGTCAGCAAGGGCAGGAGGAGTGTCCCCCACCCATGTTGGCTGCCTCAGTCTGCCTCATGAGTGATAGATCGTACCATGCTGGTACTGCCTTGTGATATCATATGAAAGGTAGTATAAAAATGGTGAGGTAAATAAATAATAGGAAGTAAGTGTGAATATTGAAATAGCTCATGAGCATCTGAACAGGATTGAATTACATTTTACTCCCTCCATCTGAAATGCCTGGTCTTGCATTGAATGTAGTATTGGCAATGTAAGACCAGCAGATGAAAGAGCTGTGGTATCATAACTGATTTACAGCTCGTGAAACTTGGGTTCTGTGCATGGCTGAGGGTTGGCACTGCAGGAGACTAAGACTTGCATGCCTTTAACAGTGATGTGGTAGGCATTGCTAGTATGCAATTATGGGGAAAGCTGCAACTCTTGATATTCTGCCTGTTGGGCATCTTATTACTTGTGTGTGAGCCCTGATTTATTTTTGGATAAATCCCATCTGCAAAAGAAGGCACACATTTGCATGATGTAAAGTGTATGCAAATGTTATGTAAATGTGTGTCTTCTTTTGCAAGTGCAGCAGAGTGCAGCAATCCACACACAACATACTGGGCCCAAAAAATCCTGTTTGGCACCCCTGAACACAAAAGAACGCACCATATTGTGTTCACAAATTATACATAATCAACAGTGAAATAAAATTGTCATCAACGGTTGACGACACATCATGCTTCCTGTAAGTATTTTCAGCAAGAATCACACGGAAGTCAGTGCAGCAATAAATATCCAGCAGGCTTTCATTTCAGCCTGAGACTTCTCAGCCGTTTATAGGTATTGCAAAGTTCATCTCCTGTTTGGTGGTATTATGCACAGGATGCAAATATTTCAATCATTCGACAAGTGCTTTCTGTGGCCACTTGAAATCATTTGCCATTCATGGGAACAGAGAGGAGATGACCTCCACAAAAGTGATGCAAGCAGAACCATCAGTGTGAAATCATTTTGTAATACTTGAGCTTCTTCCCAAATTGAATGAAGATCAATCAAGGCAATAATGCATCGCTGGTGGTATCAATTTCAAATATATTCAGAAGGAAAGCAGATATATGAACTTGTAGGCATGGTGCCCAGAAATGACAAAGTCCGCTACGATAAAGAAAATATTGTCAGGAAGACATTTGCCTTCTGTCTCCACCATTCAACTCTTATCAAATATTTTTCTTCCTTCTTAATTACATAGTCACAGCTGAAAATGTGACTATGGATTTTCCAGGGTGGGCTAATCACTTTGGCCATGGGATAAGCATCATTAGCAGGCACTGAAACATCAGTTTAAAACATCCGTACTTGGTGCCCCAGACAGAGGTCTAGTTCTAGCATATGTATTAGAGGCAGCACAGCATGTCTAGGATTCCAGTGTCTTCTTTTGTAGTCTGCACTCTGCGGGTTCTTGTTAAAAAAAATTAAAATACAACCCTGTATCTGACAGCAGATATGAAGGAACAATCTGTATGTGGCAACTCTAATAGAGTTTAGTAATGGTTTTAATAGTTATTATTACATCTCTATTCTCTCTTCCAAGTATCTCACTGTTGTGTGCCTTTCC